GGGGTGTGTCGTGCCCCTGGGAGCTGGCCCTGGCTCTGGGCTCCATGTGCTCCGGATTTCAATGCAGAAACAGCCTCCCATTTGCCCAGCACTGCCAACTTCTGTAGAGCCCGGAAGCCGTCACTTGCTGGGCACTGGCCAGGGGTGCGGCTGCTGATGAAAATACAGGACACCCATTGAACTCGCAGTTCATATCAGCAAGGATTACTCTCTTGGTGCAAGTCCGCCCTACATGGTGCTTGGGCCACACTTCAAAGTGCTTTGCTGTCTCTCTGAACTTCACATTTACTTGCTGTCTTGTACTTTAGGGGCAACCCCAGCAGAGGTCTCCTCAGTGATCTCCCCTCCCCCCACCCCACCCAAGCCAGGCAAAGGTTTGTCCCGAAGAGGACCCCTCTCCACTCCCCACGCAGGAGGCAGCCACAGTGGGGAGCTGCTCCCCCCCCACAGAAGGCCCCTGGGGTTTGTTAACCCACAGACCTGGGCCACCTGCGGCATCTGGATGAGCAGGTGGAGGCTGTGCCAGCCCTGCGGGGATGTGGACACCCAGGTTCCAACCCGTGTGTGCCCTGAGGCTGGAAGGTTCTGCAGGAGCTTCTCAGAGTCACCCCTTAAGTACTGGATTTGTTTTTCACTCATTCATTTGTTCTGCAGATGCCCATCAAGGGCCTGCAATGCCAGGTGCTGGGCTGGACCCTCGATTACTGAGGGCCTAAGCCTCCTCACTGCTGGTGGGGGTCTCCCACTTCTTGGCAGTCACAGAGGGCAGAGATGCAAGACATGACGCACTCAGCTGGGGTCCCACACATGAAAAAGCGGGCACTGCCACCTGTGCCAGAGTGAAGTGTCGGGGGACAGGCTCTTAGGTCAGCTCTGAGGGGAACAGATGGCCTCAGTCACATGGGATCACCTCTGCGGGGCGAGTCTGGGCCTCTCTCGCTTCCCGTTTTGACTGGAACCAAATCTTACGTGTAGCCGGGAGGTCTCCAGTGGCCTCAGTCCTCTGACTCATTGCCTCCCCAGGGCCCTGGCATGTGTACCTTGCTCCCCTAGCCTCTCCGCCTGCCCAGGAGCCCACCCCAGCCCCACTCCGGGAGCTGCTCCACCTCAGGCTTCAACTCCTAGCCCACACGCCAGCTCCACAGAGGGGCCTGCCCGGGCCCACCACTGTCCCAGGACTCCCAGTGCCCGGGTTTCCTTCCCAGCCTGTCGGCCCTGCTGTGGCTGCAATTGCTTCTCCCCTGTGCTCTGCACCTCCCTTGACCCTGAAGCCTTTGAGAACAGGGGCTTTGGTGGACGCCTGCTGCACGCCTGTGTTTGCACCCAAGTCCTGTGGCACCATCCTGGTGGTGGGGGCTGAGCAGCCCTCCCCAGCCCTCGGGGCCTGTGCTGTGCCCGCAGAGCCCACAGGGTCTCCAGCAAGCAAACGCTAAAGGCCTCACCTGGCTTGGAGCCCTCGTCCACGGAGCCGTTGTAGACCTGGTTGATGAACTCGGGGCGGTTGTCATTCATGTCGATGACGTAGATGTACAGGTCGATGGGGTTCTCCACCTTGTTGCCGTTCATGTCCACAGCGTGGGCTCGGAGCTGGAAAGCAGCACAGACACATCAGGGCCCGGTGGCGGGTGGGCACCCCCACTCAGCTGAGAGCGGCCCAGGACCTGTGGTGCTGGGGTGGGAGGCTGATGGCAGAGGCAGGTTAGCTATAGGGGCTGGGGGGCTTTGGGCACGTGGTGCAATTCTCCGAGCCTCAGCTCTCTCCTCTGCAGAAACGGGGTCGGGAGAGTGCAGAGTGGAGAAACGCGAAGAGCTGGAAGCCAGCATAACCCCCCAACACCCCATGGTCAGGTCCACCCAGGACCTCCCACGCCTGTCCGACTGTTCTGTGAGCCACCGACTGTTCTGATCAGATGTCTGGAGCAAGACAGGTGTCCCTTGGATGGGGTCATGTCCACCCAAAGTGGCAACAGAAAAGGCATTTGTGCCTAACTGGGTAGGGGGCTTAACTCCCACTACTGTGAGGTTAGTCCCCAGGAGAGATGGGGAGGAGACAGGCCAGGGTGTGCAGAGAGGTCAGAGCTGGAGCTAGGAATTGGGTCCATTTGGGTGTCCACTGAGAGTCCAGCCTGGACAAGTTCCAGGCTCCTCTGCGTCTGCATGCCCTGTCAGCTCTTGGACACAGCAGGGGAACATGGGTGGTCGGGGGATCCATGCAGAGGCGGGGCTGGGAGGCCAGTGTGGAGCTCCCGGGAATGTCACAGGAACCGCCTTCAAGGTGAAAAGGGAAGAGCTGAACCTGGACTGGAAGGTTCTGCAGGAGCTTCTCAGAGTCACCCCTTAAGTTCTGGATTTGTTCTTTCATTCATTTGTTCTGCAGATGCCCATCAAGGGCCTGCAATGCCAGGTGCTGGGCTGGACCCTAGATTACTGTGCACTGAAGGCAGTGTGGCTGCCCTGGAGCTTCCATCCGACGGACAATGGACACCAGGGAGAGAAGAAGCCATCAGTGGGTGTGGTGACCGCCAGGGAGGCCTCTCAGAGGAGGGGCTGCTTGAGCTGAGACCTCAAGAACAGGCCAAGGCAGAGGACACGGAGAGGCTGGGCACTGCCGCAGGCAAGGGGGCTGCTGAGAGGTTGCCGGAGAGTGGAAAGGCTATGTCTGAGGCCTCTCCACCCAGAGCTGGACGGTCACCCAGAGGTGTCCTCAGCTCACATCTTTCTACCAAAACCCCACATCACGCTTGAAGTTGGACACAACACACCTCACTCAAGGTATTTGCAGCAAAACGTCATCAAGCCCAGGGTGGCTGGGAGAGGAGCCCCATGCCGGACGGGTCTCCACATCATCCCCTTGGTGGCCTGCCTCACATGGCCGCTCCCACTCCCACGACCTCGGGGGAACGGGGTGGACCCTGCATTCCACGCCTGCCCCAGGGAAACCCGGGAGCTGACTGTGTCCATGCCCGCACCAGTGTTTTGGTTGGGTTCCAACAATCCAGAGTGGAATTTTACCCACTACGTGGCATGTTTAAGGAAGATCTAGAGGCTGGCTTTACCCAAAGAGGTAATCTGTCCTGTAGTAAGGAGACAGACTAGGCCTGACTCCTGGAGGAACTGCAGACTGCCACGCGCGATGTGACCGCACGCACGCTGAGTCAGCTTTACGTATCCTGTTTAAACAGCCTGAAGTGCTGTGTGGTTGTCGTATCCGGCTGCCCCCACCCCGCCACGGGCAGACTCCTCCATCCCCGAGCCATTTGCAGCTCTGTCCTGCTGTAGGACACGCTTCCCACACGCCCAAAGGTCACAAGGCCTTGGGAAAAAAGTAATTCTGAGCTAAAATTAAAGTTATTATCTCCCAACTAAAGCAGTTCCAGGTGCTATCTGGAGCAGCAGGAGCAGCGCGAGTGCAGATAACAAGGAAATACGGCCTCTGCCCGTGGCCTGTGTCCTCCTTGTCCCACGCTCCTGTTGGAAATCTCCCCTGCCCATCTCTCAGGCTGGGCACACCCAGGGCGGGCCTGAGAGACGTGATCTCGCCGTGGCAGTGGAGGAAACAGGCAAACATGGGTGGAGGAATCCTCCGAGCATTCTGCAACCTGCAAATCCAAGTGTCAGGCACAGCGCATTTCCTCCAACATTTTGAATAGGACATTTTTCTATCCTCGTTCTGGGAGACAAGATTAGAAAATATTAATATGTGGGTATGGTCTGGCCTCGGGCTGGGAAGCCGCTTGGGGGAAATGTGGCTGTTGACAGATGAATGTCCAGATGTATGTGGGATCTAATTCTCCCGCCTCTTGGCTGTTCTCTCGTCTTTGTATCTTTTTTTTTGAGACGGAGTCTCGCTCTGTCGCCCAGGCTGGAGTGCAGAGGTGCGATCTCGGCTCACTGCAAGCTCCGCCTCCCGGGCTCTCGCCATTCTCCTGCCTCAGCCTCCTGAGTAGCTGGAACTGCAGGCGCCTGCCACCAGGCCCGGCTATTTTTTTGCATTTTTAGTAGAGATGGGGTTTCACCGTGTTAGCCAGGATGGTCTCGATCTTCTGACCTCGTGATCCGCCCACCTCAGCCTCCCAAAGTGCTGGGATTACAGGCTTGAGCCACCGCGCCTGGCCTCTTCTTCGTATCTTAATTGTGGGTGCAGGTTCCCTCCAAAGAGTATGGAACGGGGAAGAGTCCATGGGGGCCCTTGGAAGTGGCCGAGGGGTGCAGGTGTTGGAGACTTTCTTCATCGGTGACATCGGCAGCCAACACGCACGGTGTGTTTGCTCAGGGCCAGGCAGTGCTATAAGAACCTGATACACGCTAACTCCAGTTTCCATCAGAATCTGTGAGATTGGCATTGTCTTGGTCCCTATCTTACAGAGGAGGAAACTGAGGCTCAGGAAGCTGAGAAAACTTCTTTCGGAAGATGACAGCATGTGGCTGGGTGAGCTAGTGTGTCCAACCGATGGAATCCTTCAAGGAATCTTCTGGAGCATCGCCCTGCAAAGCCAGCAGTGAGCACTCGTGCGTGTTGTGTGTTTGAATGTTTACAGGTTGGCTTCAGGGTGCCATGTGTCACAGTCTTCAGCATACTCAGGCTGGCGACGCGTCCTCCCCACCCTCAGCCCACAGAGCTGGGTGGAAAATGGAACAGGATCCAAGGACACTGGGGAGGCAAGAAGAACTCTAAGATGGCCCCAAGGATGTCAGGCACTGGTCCCAGATGTGAAGACAGATGTGTTCCCTCCCCACTGGGCTACGTTTTTGACCTTAAGACAGGGCTGGGTAGGCGCCATCCAACCACACGGGCCTTCGAAAGCTGAGCGTTCCCCAGCTGGAGGCAGGAGAGAGGGGCATGTGGGCATCCTATGCACCTCGCTGGGTGACAGTGGAGGGGACACGTGCCGGGGATGCAGGTGCCCTTCAGGGGGTGGCTGTGGCCCCCCGAACAGCCGGCAAGGACATGGAGACCTCAGTCCTGCAACCACAAGGATCTGGACCTGCTGCAGCCCCAGTGAGCCTGGAAGCAGGTCCTCCCCAGGGCTGGGGGAGTGCCCAGACTGGCTGGCGCTTTGATTTTGGCCTGGTGAGACCCTGAGCAGAAACACAAGCCAAGCCCATCTTGACTTCTGACCTATAGCACGGTGAACTCATAGGGTGTGGTTTCAGCCACTAAGTTTGTGCCGATGTGTTACACAGTGCAGAGAACTAACACGCCCCTGCTGGCTGGCACAGCTGCCCTCAAAGACCCTGGTGAGCATCCTACAAGGTGGAAATCCAGAGTTGGATTCACAATGGAGTCTGATGAGGACTGCGATGCCTGCAGGGAGGGGCTTCCTTCTCCAGGGAAGGGCAGGAAAGCCGGGCATCCCCAAGGCCTCCATCTCGGTAAGACAGAGATTAGCTACACGTGGAACTCGAGGGCTTCATTCCAGAATTTGGCAGATGATGCAGTTTCTTCTCCAGTCTGGGCCCTGCATCTCCTGCTGACTCTGTCGTCCCTACAAGGGTGAGGAGGCTGGAGCCTGGCCAAATCTCAGGGCTCACCATTCTTCACCTTGAAAATGGGAAATGAGGATGATAAAAACTGATGATCTCCACGAGCTTGCTCCTAGAACCTGGTGTGCAGGAGGCACTGAGAGACGCTGGCAATGTGGGATGACTGCATTTCTCATCTTCAAAGCGGGGAGAAAACCACGAAGCCTCAGGGCTGAGGCAGGAAACAGACAGGAACATGGGCCGGTGGCTCACGCCTGCAATCCCAGCACTTTGGGAGGCATAGTTGGAGACCAGCCTGGTTAACATGGCAAAACCCCGTCTCTACTAAAAATACAGAAAAATTAGCTGGGTGTGGTAGCAGGTGCCTGTAGTTCCAGCTACCTGGGAGGCGGAGGCAGGAGAATCGCTTGAACCTGTGAGGTGGAGGTTGCAGTGAGCCGAGATAGTACCACTGCACTCCAGCCTGGCTGACGAAGTGAGACTCTGTCTCAAAAAATAAAAAAATAAAAAAATCCCAGCTACTTGGGAGGCTGAGGTGGGAGGATTGCTTGAGCCTGGGAGGTTGAAGCTGCAGTGAGCTGAGATTGTGCCACTGCATTCCAGCCTGAGTGACAGAGCGAGACCCTGTCTCAAAAAACAAACAAAAGAAAAACAAAAGAAGGGAAGGGAACACGTGTGCAGAAGTGTCTGCACAGTGACAAGCCACGAGGGTGCTGGGACAGGTGGGTCTGACTTTTCACTAGCAGCTCCCCCCACCCCCTGCCTGGGCTCCCTCATCTTCCTCCACAGCCAGCTCAGGTGGGGAGTGCGGGGGGCCTCAGGGCATCCGTGGTGAGGGACAGGAGTCTTCGGGGGCACCTCAGCTTCCCCTGCAGGTGTGGGACCCAGGCTCCTGGTCCCCACCAGCCTGTGACCCCCATCTTTCTGGGGGTTTGCTGCAGGACCATCTACCTTTCCTGGGTAGAGGCTGGTGCTGAGCAAGGCTCTGCATATGCATCAGGCAGAAAGAATAAACAGATGAATGGAGATGTGTGCGGTGGTTTGGATGTTCTGTCCCCTCCAGATCTCATGTTGAAATGTGCCCTCCAGTGTTGGAGGTGGGCCTGGTGGGAGGTGTTTGGGTCATGGGGGTGGATCCCTCGTGGTAATGTATGAGTTCCTGCCCTGAGTGCACTCCAGGGCTCGTTGTTTAAAGAGCTTGGCACCTCCGTCCCTCTCTCTCTCTTACTCCTGCCATGTGGGACGTCTGCTCCCCTTCGCTTTCTCCCATGAGTGGAAGCTTCCTGAGGCCTCCCCAGAAGCAGATGCTGGGGCCACACTTCCTGTACAGCTTGCAGAACCATGAGTCAAATAAACCTCTTTTCTCTCTATATTACACAGCCTCAGGTATTTCTTTACAGCAATACGAAAGGGCTAACACAGCATGTTTGCACCATATGTTCACACAGTATGTTTGCACCACATGTTTACACAGCGTGTTTGCACCACATGTTTACACAGTGTGTTTGCATGGCATGGCAGGAGATGGTGGGGGCGCTGGATTCCTCCCCAGTGCCAGCTACTGTCTCTGCACATGGTGGGTAGAAAATTTCTACCTGTGCATGAGAGGAGGACCTTGGGAATGAATCACAGAGGGGTGGGTGACCCAGATCCCCGCAGTGCCCATTCCAACCTCTGGCCCTGCACACCTGGACCCCTGCTGTGGGCAGAGCTCCCAGGTTGGGTTGCAGGCTGTGCCTTAGGCTTCAAGGTGCATGGAGGGGGCACTGTCCAGCGGTGGCCCTGGAGGTCCCTGTCCCCTAGCCGTGCTGTGTGCAGAGGTAGCTGAGCCCTGAAACCTTTTCTGGGGAGTCGGTGGGAATGCCAAGGCTGCCTCTGGTGAGAATCCACGGAGGAGACACAGCTCATCGGGGATGCTGCAGGGAGGGCCAGCTCTGAGCTCCAGATTTCCAGGAGGAATTACAAGATGAAATGGAAGGAGGAGGCCTCCTGCTGGTGCAGGTCACCCAGGAATCACTGTGCATTCAGCAAGCGCTGGGCCCTGAGTCCTCCTGCAACAGGCACCTGGTAGCCCTACAGCACTCCTGGTGCCCCTCAGATGCCCCAGCCAGCACCCACAGGCTGCATCTGCGATGCCACACCAGGGAGAAGTGGGCTGACCCAGCTCCAAGTCTGCCTTGGTTAAAAAAACAAGACAGAAACACGTGTCAGGAATTCACAGAGCTGAAGGACTGGCTCCCCTGCCCCACATCGAGATCTGGCAAAGGCTGGAGTCAAGTCTCTGTCTCTGAATCTGTCTCTCACGGTCAGTCTCTCCATTCCTGTCTCTAGGTCTCTGTCTCTGTATGTCTCTCACGGTCAGTCTCTCCATTCCTGTCTCTAGGTCTCCGTCTCTGTATTTCCTGTGTCTCTTCTCTGTCTCCTATGTCTCTCTCTGTGTCTCTGTCTCCCTCTCTGTCTCTGTGTGCATGTGTCTGTGTCTCTCCCTAAGTCCTTGGTCTGTAGCTATTTCTTGGCAGTAAGGGCTGTTGAGTTCCGATTCCTGAGCCTGTTGTAGACGCGTGTTGACGGCAGCCCAAAGCCCGTTGTGGGAGCCAGCAGCCATGCTGAGGGCCACTCGCTTGCTGCACAGTCTGTGGGCATCAGCTGGAGTCTCTGGTTGGTTCTGTGGTTCTGCCCCGGCCACTCCTGGAGGGCCCAGCACATGAGGCCCAGGCACTGTCAAACAGGTCTCCCCAGCACCTAGCCAAGGTGTGAGCCTTCCCAGGAGGCAGCCGTGAGGGACTGATAAGGCCCCAGTGCAGATGGGGGTGAGGGCAGCCACCTCCCAAGTGGGCTCCCCAGGATCCATCCAGCTCCGCCCCTGCTTCAGACGGTGCCTCAGGGGCTGTCAGGGAGGCCCCTGTGGCCAAACAGCTAAACCGACCTTCTCCCATCAACACCCTCCCTTCTCTGAATGCTTAGTGAGTCCCCCGAAGGCCAGGTTCTGTTCTTGGCCCTGAGATCTGCCATGGACAAGCTGGAGGATCCCTGCCCCTGTGCAGCCTCCTTCTAGAGTGAGATGGAAAGAACGAACCCCAAAACAAATAGCTGCAGACGTGAGAAGCTGCAGGGTTGGGCCCTGTTCGGTGCCACTGGCTGAAGCCCAGCGAAGGTAGAGCTGAGCAAGGTGACACTGCCAGGCAGGGCTGAGTCTTTCATAGTTGTTCCCGAGTTACTACAGAGGAGCACACGGCCCTGACAGCACGGGCTTGTGCTGAACGCCTCACCCGGGTTAACCCTGCAGTCCTCAGAACAAGCCCATGAGGAGGAACAGGGACTGAGGCCAGGAGAGGCGACATCATTTGCCCAAGAGCTCACACCTGGCCAGGGGCAGGTCTGGGTGTGACCCTCGCGATCTGGCTCCAGCCTGTTCTGCGCTGCTGGTGCAGCCTTCACCTACACACGATGGACAGCCCTGGACCCTGAGGTGGAGGGATGTGCACCTGTCGCTGCTTTCACCGCGGCCCAGGCCCCCTCCTCTCAGCCAGGGTCAGTTCGGCCTGGGAGGAGAAGGCCCGCCCCCCGGAAGCTGAGGCCGCAGCCCCATCTCTTTCCGTGCACAGCCCGCGACAGGGAACCAGCGCGGTTCTCCTTTCAGAGGCTCTTGCTGCTGCGAGAGATGTCAGAGGAAATGAAAAGCCTGCAGGACGCATGTCCCAGCCTGGAGAGGGTGGGAGGGACAATGGACCGTGCTTCAGAGAAAGGGGCCAAGGGCAGCATGAGGGGCCCCGAGGGAGCATTGCAGCTCCCTGACTCCCTGCCCCACAGAGCCGTCCAAAGCAGACCAGCTGGATGGAGGCCTTCTAGACCAGTGGTTCTCCCAGTGTGGGCCCAGGCCTGACTTGCATCCTGGGGAGTGTGTGAAATGCAGTTTCCCAGGTCTGCCCTGGGCCCACCCTGGAGAGACGGGGGACAGTGCCCAGCAACCTAGACTTTCCCCAGCTTCCCAGGATTCTGCTCCAGGTCAAAGTTGGAGCGCTACCTATAGAATTAGGACAGGCATGGCCCAGCTGGGGGCACCTGCCAAGGCCTGGTGGGGCTGAGATCGCCACCCCAGGGCCCGGTTCCCACCTGGGTGTGGACACTCACGTGGTAAGAGGCATGCTCCTCCCGGTCCATGGGCCGCGTGACGTACATCCGGCCGGACATGGAGTCAATGCTGAAGACCTCCATGGGGGGCTGGTCGGCGCCCACTCCCGTGATGCTGTACCGGATGGGGATGTCATTGTCTTTGTCGGACCGGATCTGAAAGGCAGGAGCACAGCGAGAAGAGGTCAGACTGTGGTGAGGTGAGGCCCGGGGCCCTACCTCTGACGTTCATCCCCTCCCATGAGTTCCTCGAGCTCGACCATTTTGAGGTACGATGGGGACCACAGCTGATCTTTCGTCCACTTTGGGAACTGGAAGGATGATCGACGGTCAGGGTTTTACTGAGAGCTGCCGACGGCAGGTCCAGGGCCCGTCAGTAATAGGGAAGTGCAGGTCTAATATTCCGAGTTCAGCAAACACACCGAGAACGCGGGACGCCTGGCAGACATCCGCAGCACAGGTGAAAACAATGGAAATGATGGTGTAAAATGGCCTCATGTTCTGACGTCAAACCCAGGATGAGACAAAGGCAAGAAAATGAGCAACCTCCACAGTGAGAGAAAAGACTAGGACCCAATGCATGTGTGCCCCAGCCTTTCTAATTGTTTAGAAAACAATTTAATGATGGTTATCTGGGCCCCAAGTCCAAAGGAAGCTAGAAGAGGCCGCTAACTGGGGGAGGAAATGGAACGACACAGGCAGACATGAAACTCTTGAGTTTTACTTGGGATGGGGAAGGGTTAGGCAAAGGCTTCATTTTGTTTTTGAGCAGAGAGTGAGATTCACACAAGTTTTGGAGAAACAGAAAGGACCCTGGTAGCATTAAAAACAAGATGCACGTCTTTCGCTCCATTGAGGCGAAACCTCCTGTAATGGGGAGGGGGACTTGGTGGTCACCAGCCCACCACAGGTGAGTGGCACTTCCCAGAGCCTGGGGGTCCCTCAGGGAAGTGCGAGAGGCCACGGGGATTTGAAAGGTGAAATCGAGAAGGTGGAGTGAATGGATTTGCATTCAACTTTGAGCATGTCTTTAGACCACACGACTTTTTTTCTCAAAGTCCACAGGACCATCACATTTCATAATACAGTGGGCCGCAGTGAAAACCCCCCAAAATACCCCCAAAACAAAATGGAACAGGACTTTTTTTTTTTTTTTAGAGACAGGTCTCACTCTGTCACCCAGGCTGGAGTGCAGTGGGGCAATCATAGCTCACTGCAGCCTTGACCTCCTGTGCCCAAGCCATCCTCCCACCTCAGCCCGGAGCAGCTGGGACTACAGGTGGCGGCAACCACGCCCGGCTAAATTCTGAAATTCTTTTGTACAGACAAGGTCTCACTAGGTTTCCCAGGCTGGTCTCAAACTTCTGGCTTTAAGCGATCCTCCCACCTGGGATCCTCCCAAAGCGCTGGGATTACAGGTGTGAGCTGCCGCATTCGGCCTGACTAGGACCTTCAACTGAAATGATGCAATTAAAAGTTAATAATAAAACTGAAAAAAGACCTTTTAGAAACCTGAATGACACTGCAAAATAACCATTGGGTCAACAGGAACCAAAGTTATTTTTAGAGGCTTTTAAAAATATTTCTTTTGTTTAATAATAACATAACTACGTGACTGTGATACAGTGAAACCCAGAGATTGAGTCCCTGCAAACCCATAACCTTGAATGTTTTCATAATCAAAATGGAATTACAGCCAATGAACCAAGCGCTCAACCCCACAAGGAAAGGAACGAGAAAGCAGGAAGCAGCAGACACCAAAGTCATCAATAGATATGACACAGAAAGAATCTGAAGACAGAAAAATCCGGACAACGATAGATTCCAGAGCTGTAGTTAGGTGAAAAGTCCTCAGGAAACTGCTGCGTCTTTGATAAACGTCAGAGAAAAAAGATAAGATTTTTTTTTTAAAGCATTTTCTTTGCTATATGTTATGCAAGCACAGGTGAAAATTGTTATGAAATTGATTATTTTTTGAGAAAATATACAATTTTAAACTTGACTAGCAGAGAACACACACCTGGAGATACCGTATGACTTCAGAAAATTCCTCTTAAAAGAGCTCAAGACAGGTCAGCTTGCCCTGGAATTTCCTGAAACTTTTCCAGAGCAGAGAACGAGAGAGAAAAAGCAGCCCCCTCGGTTTTACGAAGCTTGCAGACCTTGAAGTGCAGATGCATTCTGAATTCTGATGACACACAGTGTGACCACTGCAACCACCCCACGTGTGGCCTCGGTGTCACACCCAGCAGATGCCAGCGAGCGGATGCAGCAGCGACTTCCAAGCCTGCTTCATCGTGCCTGAGTAGCACTTATCTCAGAGACAGAGGGCTGGCTTCTCACCAGGCATCTCATCTCTGCAGCACGATGACAATCATAGGCGAGCCTTCGGAGAGGCTCAAAGCATGTTTGATAGAGTATCCCTTCCAGCTTAATTCGTATCAAAGAAAGCAAGTCATCCCCTGGAAAAACTCCAATTTGTAGAGAATTCAGCCTGATGGAGAACATCTTTCTAAAACCAGCATTTAGCATTTGCACACCAGAGCTGTTCCTATGTGCAGAAGCGCGGTGCCCGGCACAACGGCCACCCCAAGACTGTCTCATGTCGTAATAGCAAAAAAGCTGTTTTCCGTATAGGAAGAGGGAGATGCTGTTTCCATCATAAAGGCGCCATGGGGGTCAGTGCCAATGGGGGGCTGCTCATGTGCTGGGAGACACCGCCAGGAGAGGAGGCCTGCAGGCCCGTGGTGTGTGCATGCATGCGCACACACTCACACACACTCCTGTGCACATGTGCGTGCACACATACACACACTCCTGTGCACATGTGCACACACCCGCAGGCCGTGAGGAGCATCTTTGTTCCGCCCCCGCAAGGCACCTCCTTACTTTCATGATCAGGTAGGGCCCTTTCCGGGCTCTGCCCTGAGCCGCACACACCAAGCAGGGCTTCCGAGACAGCGACCGAGGGAAGGGCGGGTTTGGGCCCCTCAGCGGTCGACGGGAAAAGCTTCCCACGAAGCCATAATCACCCCTCCCTCTACTGCCCAAGGCCACCAGCAACGGTGTTCCTGCAGGCCTTCCATGGGCAAGGCCCATCTCTTCTCCACCCATGGAGAGTTTTCACCAAGTTTGGTCACCAGGGTATATGGGGCAACGTCTAGACAGAGAGGAGGAACGCCCCTTCCTGTCCCCTCCAACGACTTGTCCCTTGGGGTGGGAGAAAGGTTAAGAGAACACATTCCCAGGAGAGCAGACAGCTGAGGTGGAGTACGGAGCCCACCAGTCCTGCCGTCCTGGAGCCCGGCGCTTCTCCGAGGGCTGATGGGTATGGACGCTGCTTTGGCTTTGGGTTAGGAGAAGGGCACTCGGAGCACACAGTAGGCCCTCGAGTGGCTGAGTGGCACTGGGCTGAGGAGAACACACGGAGCCAGGTCCGGTCTTCTGGAGGCAAGGGACGGGGAGGCAAGGATGGATTGTAGGCGTGAGGGCTGGGGCCTGCAGCAGTCGGAAGGATGGATTACAGATTCACTGTGTACTATTGCTAGCTTGGACGGACCAATCCCTCTTCCACAGGGAAATTTAATGAGGAGAAAAAAATCCACCACCTATTTAAAGAGAATTTTGTTTTCAAGGAAGACTCATTACGTTTTGGCCATCAGGCCACATTTGCTTATTCTCCAGGCCCGTTTGGCGGCCTCTGAAATACGGCGGGCAGCGAGCGGCTGCGGGTGGTGTGGTGTGTGTCTAGGGGCTCTGAGCATCGGCTCTCAAAATGCTCTGAATTCTCCCACAATTTACCATATTAAGAAGAAATACTGTGCGAGTGAATCCACCAGATCAGGGGAGAGCAGTTTTCCCCTTGATTTGTGTCTGGCAAATGAGACAGACACCGCAGAAGCCCACGATGGGCCGTGAAGAGAGAGCACAGACGGGCCTCCGCCGCGCCGATCGCCTTAGGATGCCGCGGAGACCCACGCGCTTCCGCATTTGTCATTAGAGGACAGAACAGATGGTGAAAGGTTAGTTTAAAGTGATGTCTACATTAAAATAACTACGGGCTCCGCGATAGCGTTCACCCAGGGCCTTCTGCTTCGAAGGCTGGTTCTCGTCCTCAGAAATGGCCGGATGACACGGAAAGTTCTGGCAGAGTCTCCCCCGGGGAGGAGGATTTGCCTGATTTCAAATGAACTTGAAACTGGAGAAAAGTCACCCTGTGTGGTTTTGAATCGCAGACACCTTGGAGGTGGAGTCCCTAAGCTTTCAAGGGCGGAAGCTGGGGAGTTACACCCAGATTCCAGGGGAGGGAGAGACCCACCCATCCGGAAGGCCCCTGCACCAGGGCCTCCTGCCAGCCAGAGCTGTCCCCGAGCACGTGCACGGTCGGGAAGGTCTCTCTCGTCAGCTCACAGACGAACACGGGCACTCTCAGAATTAGGGCTTTTCCCACAAGTGACACCCCCTCAGGTTGTTGTTGTACATCAGGATAAGGACTGCCGGGGAGAGAAAGGTCTGGGAGACCCCTCGGGGCACTGGGCAAGGAAGGCCTTGGAGAAAGTCAGGGTCAGAATGAGTCAGTGAGTCACACACACACACACACTACACACATACACACCACACAAGCACACAATACACCCATACACAAACACACATACATGTGCACATACATACGCACACAACACACGTACACAAACACATAATACACACAAACACACATGCTTACACACAACACACATACATGCACACACATGCACACACAACACATAAATATACTATACACATACATGTACACACAACACAAACACACTAAATACACATACATAAACACACAACACGCAAATACACAATACACACAGACACTATGCACACAAACACACCAACATGTACACATGACAAACACAGACATGCATACACAGTACACACACACAACACACAACATACACTCAATACACAAACATACACAAACACACAAACGCCACACACACGCACATATGCACACACGCGATACACGTACACAAGTACATACACACAAACACAAATACACACATACAAACACATGCACACATAACACACAATACACATACACACACACTCAACACACATACATGCACACACATGCACAGTGCACCCATACACACACACCACACACACACAGT